TGCACTAAATTGTTCTTGGACTACGTCTGTTTGAAGAAAACTTCATGTTTGGGACAAGTAAAAAAAAAAGGGTTCCATCAAGAGATTAGGTATTGAGTGAAAGGTATTCTTACAAATGACATTCAATTATTGCTGAAAGGTGTTCACATGCCAGACAACAAAGCGACTCTGAAACATAATACAATAGCTTTTAACTTCACAGGTACTTGTTCAAAGAGATACCTGAGCTTCAAAATCTTCCGTCAGCAAAACATTAGCTGTCTTGATATCTCTGTGGATGATTCTCCTCCGGCAACCCTCGTGGAGATATCCAAGGCCAGCAGCAGTGCCAAGAGAGATATTATACCTATAACACCAAGACAACTTACCCTTTTCCCCTGAAAAAGTAATGCATAATAGAGAAAACTAATTAACGGTTAAGAATCAACAGGAGAAATAAATTCAAAAGAAGCTAATGATGAACAGACCATTAAGCAGATTTGCTAAGCTCCCATGTGGAGACAGAGGAAGGACAAGGTGCATCCCTCCTTCAACTCCATATCCAATAACACCAGAAATGTTGGGATGGTTGACATGTACCAGAATTCCGAGCTCAGATAAGTAGTCCGCTGTCATCTCCTCTTGAGTTCCCCTGATCAGCCTTTTAACTGCCACCAGTTGGCCATCTTTAAGATGTCCCTTATATACTTCAGATGAACCTCCCTCACCAATCAGGTTTTCTTTGAGAATGACACAAAGAATAATGAGGACCACAATATGCTAATAGGGTAATTTGCTAAATAAAAGTACAAACTAAACATTTCGGAGATACAAATAAGCTCATCATACACACAAGCAGTTGAAAGTTGAAAAATTGAGTTGTTCTGAAGTTCAAAGTGATATTTTCCTTCAAGTTGGCAGCCTTAGTTGCAGATATTTGGATATAAATTAAATCGTCTAAAGATGAAATAGTAGAGATACGAAGAAACTCATACCACGGCTAAAGTTGCCGGTAGCTTTCTGAAGATCCGAGAGTGGGAAATTCTTCCAGTGCGCTTGAAAACAGTGACGTAAATCAGCATCTAGATTAGGAGAAGGCGCCATTGGAATGCTCTGTTCTGTATTCTTACTTTTCCATTTCGGTAGCATCTTAATAGAAGGCAGCGAAGGTATGCTAGGATGGAAAGTATGCAAATGCATTGCTGAAGTTATCTTTAGTCTTTTAATGAAACCTTTCCACTGGGATTGAAATTTTCCATCTGAATCTGAAGTGTTGCTGGACTTTGAAGTTGTAGACTCTGCATCATCTTCGGAAGCATCTCTGATAGAGTCCTCAGCTACGTCATCTCGTGATTGAACCTTGTCCAGGGGTTCTTCAGTTGAATCCTTTTCTATTTTTCCTTCATCCACAGTGAGACACCGCAATTCTAGCATAACATGATGATATGTTACATATTACAAAGATAAACATGCACACAGACTAACCAACATATCAAGATGAGTAGTATGATCTAAAAAGACATCCAAGGTAAAGAAATATAGTTTTACCTTCAGCGGAGATAGAAATGGAAGCACAAAAAAGTAGCTTATTTTGCCCCACCTTCGAGAGCCCCTTTTCCGTGATTCCATTGGAGGGGTTCTCACTGTAACACAGTAAGAACTATCAGTTATTTCGATAAGTCATTTACACATATATTGTAGTAGGGAGATTGTTGAAACATCAAGCTAATGGTTTCTTCGTCCATTTTCATTCAAATCTCAGGCCAACACTCAACTCATCCTCTCAGCTTCTATTCTCTTACACATATATGCTTTTGAATTCGATCTATCTGTAGCCCCCTTAGCAGAAACTACTCAAAGATCAATCCGAAGTTGTAAATACAGCAGTCCCATAAAATAAAAATACATTTGTTGTTCACGCATATACAGCAAAAAAGAAACATTTCTAATAAAAATTAATAAGCTTTTGTTCATATCATCCACAATTCATGTGCATATTTCATTGCATCATAACGACACAAATATATACATACATCTTGCATTATAAACAAAATTAATTACGTTGGCAACCTACATGGTAATGGTACAATATATACAAAAATAAGCTACAACATTTCCTCGTAAAAAGTCATACCAAGGGAAACTAAAATCAATCAGAATAGAAGATACCATGGGGCAGAAAATGGTTCACGAGTAGTTTTCATGGGGAAAACGACAATGAATTAGCCAAACAAAAATTGAACCCCGAGTGGCCTAAGCAGGGGAGAAGGGATCAGAGCCTCTTCCAGAGAAACCAAAAAATGAATGAGAGAGAGAAAATATTGAAGGAGATGAGAGGGAAATAGTGGTTGTCATGCTGTCTACCTGAATCTTGCCTCCTCTCTATGAGCAAAATTCGGAGTTTTCTCCATATTTACGTGCATGATTTCTTTTTGTCCCCTAACCTACGTGCATGAAAATAACAACTACTCTATTAAATTTTAGGAAATTTTTTTCCTCAACTACATTGTTAGTGCTATCACCTCACAATATATTTTTAAAAAATATGATGATTTTCGAACTCAATAATTTCATCGAGACCCCAACGTGGCAGGTATTATCAACAAAAACAAAAATTATAGATTTAATCGACGATAGCCTGAAGGAATGGAACACACGTCACCCTTAAATGAGAAATTTGAGCTCCACAAACAACCCACCCTCTCTTTTCTCTTTCTATTACAACCATAAAAAATATTTGTCTAAACACAAATTGCAACCAACTATTTTAGTTTATTAATTTATGAATATTATCAACTAATTATACATGAAAAATTATGTATCATGCACTTCAAGTACCATTTCATAGGAGGTACGACAAAAATTAATCTTACTATGGGATAACTCATCAATCCTTTGTCTTGTTGATATTAGTATTATATTTCTGGTGAAGTATTATCCTTTTAAAAAACTGAAATTTGTAATATGAAATAAGTTATAAATATTTTGTAGCTCTAAATCATTTATTAGAAGTAAAATTAATATAAAATTGTGTTTTTCTTTTTGAGACTAAAAAGATAAATCATATAAATTGAAATAAAAAGAATAAACACTTTAAAGGGGAAAAAGGATAAATATATTATAGAACTATCGTAAATGGTACGCAGATACATTCCGTTATACTTTTGGAATATTTATGCCCCTGTTGTTTAAAAACTAGAGCATATATTCCCTTCACTCTAATGGAAGACTAAATTGGGACACATGACACAGTCTTAGTATCGATTCGATATTTAATAAATATTGAGTCGGTGGATAAGATTATAACACATGTATGTTCGTTAGTGTAAATGACATATATACTCTAGTTTTGAACGATAGGGGCACCATGTCCGAAAAATATGACGGAGGGTATCTACATACCATTTACGATAGTTCATGGTATATTTACTATTTTTTCTATTTTAAAAATGAAAAAAAGGTCATATGCTAGTACTCTTAGAAAATATTTATATTTATTCTTCGCTATATTTTTTTTGATATATTTATCCTTATCATCCAACTTTGAGTACATATTTGTTTTTGGATGTTAACTCTCATTGTCACCACCCTTATTATCTTATGCGTATATTCAAAATTGAAGAACATAAATATAAAATGATGTCAATTTCAAAAAGCTTATGTCAAAAAAGTATAACCAAGATAAATATAACTATGGGAGATTTTCATTTACTTAAAATACTTGAAAATAAATTAGGAATTTTATGTTTATTAAAAGGGCAACTTTCACATATAACAAATAAAAGATTCATATTTGTATGCTATAGCAAAGTTTGCTTAATTGCGCTTCATAGCAAACATAGAAACTGTATAATTCGCTATATATATACAGTTGAAGCAAATTGTATAAAACGAAGTGTATAAAACAAGAAAGAGAAAGACACTTGGGCAGAGAACTGTATAAAAACGAAGTGTATAAAACGAATTATATTATTATAAGTGTATAGAACGATTATATACAATTTGAATTTGTATAAAATGAGAAAGAGAGAAAGACAAAAGAGACTTGACAAGGAATATACAATTAAATCGAATTGTATAAAACAAGAAAGGGAGAAATTAGATACAATTTGAAAATTATATAAAACGAGAAAGAGAGAAAGACAAAAGAAACCGGGCAGGGGAGTATTTATATTGTATAATTACAGGTGTATAGGACGGAAAATATATGTATTTGCATGTGTATATACAATTTTCTCACGCTTTATATACAAACAGAAATGCAATTTATACACTTCGCTTCTATTTGTATGAGTGAGAAAGGAGAGGGTGGCAAGCGAGATTTGGGAGAGTAGCGAGCGAGATCTGAAAGAGGGGAGAGATGAGAACAAAAATATATGTATTTATACAATTTTATTTGCTTTATACAATTAGAAACAATTTGTATACACTTGTGTTTGTATAAAAAAGGTGAGGAAGCGAGCGAGCGATTGGAGGAGAGTGGGGATCGAGATATTGACAATTTTTTGCAAACGTTTGCTATGGAACACAATTAAATCGAACCCTAGCTACTACATTTATTTTATATTATTAATTTGCTATTATATACAATTTTCCCTTATTAAAACTACTCAACCTAACGGATTAAAACTTAAAAAAAAAAAAAGCATACACCATTCTCCCAATAAAAAGAACCCATTATCCGCGCACCCCTCGCCCCCACATCTTCTCTATACTTTTTCTCTCTCCTCTTTGTATTTAAATCTTCTGTCCTCTAAAAAAAATTTCAAAATCAAAACCGAGCAACCAAAAGAAGATAAACTGTTTTTCCCTTTTCCTTGACAATTGAGAGAGATAAATAACAATACACCAAAAAAAAAAAACTATTTACCTCCTTCCCTTACAACAAGGAACAGGAAAAATCAGAAATTATTCAACCTTCTTTTTTCAATCCTGTTACCATTTTCAACAACTCTGTTGAATTTGTTTGTTCTCCTTCATGCTTTGAACGATTTGATTTTTTTTATTATACGAAAAAAATTATGGCAACAGAGATTTTGCGGCCACAGGATATATTAACTCAATGGTTCAGAGTTTCACCGTCGGTGTGTTATCGTCGGAGAAATAATTTTGGAAACGGAAATGAGTATATTAGCTCTAGGTCTTCTTATGGGAACCGGAAACAGGTGGTTAGAACGGAAAAGGAAAGATCTGAGAAGAAGAAGGTGAGAAACCAACCTGAGCCATTGATGAGGAGGAGATCTGCGAGTTCCGATGATTTGAGACCGACTCTCAACGCCGGTAAGTCTAACGGTGGCGTAGTTATGGGACAGGTAACGATATTGAGGAGAGGCGAGTCTTTGGATTCGCTGAACTCCGTTTATGGAACCGGACCGGGTCAACCCGAAAAGTTGCGCAAGCAGATCCAGGTCGGGTTATCTTCGGCCGATGTCTACGCCGGTTCAGCTTTTTCAAATTCACCGTCGCCTAGAGCTCTTCCGTTGCCTTCCTTTTTCAACAAAAAGCAAGAGGATTTCAAGTCTGATGACTTCGCCAGTAGAGATTTGAGGCGCTTGCTCCGGCTGGAACACTAGGAGGATCCGGTTATGACGTTCCCTTAAAATGATCCGACCCGACCCGATCTGATCCGAATCGACAATAATAGAATTTTCGGGATCTTAATTTCTCCATGATATTTTTTAGACATGTGGAGAAGATGAAAAGGTCTGAAAATTTGAGAAATTTAGAAAAAGAATTATATCTATCTTAAATTTTTTTTGTAAAATATGAGTTTATTTTTATTGATCCAAGCAATATTGGGAGGGTTTTGTTGTAAAATATGGGAATGGAATATTGTAATATATATATATGTATAGTACTAACTACTATATATGATAAAATATGGGAATGGGAATAATTATGGGAGAAATTAGTACAGTGGTTGGAGGGGAAGAAGATGTTGTGCTGCTCTGTTAATTAACTGACTGAAGATGATGTCGAATGAGCAAATTTTCAGTTTCTTCTTGTAAATCGTAAGATAATACTTATCAATACTATAAATATTCACTGAGTTTAATATTATTTAAGTTAATGGTCTATCTACTTTCAAACTTTAATCGACGATTGAAATCAGAATACAATCTTCAAATATTTTTAGAAGTGGACTAATTTTCGAAGTTTGATCTAATCGCATGTGCTATATATTTTGTCACATCAAATCCAAGAACGTTTCAGTTCATGTTCACTATTGTTTTTGGGCTGAATAGAGCTAGACACAAGATCCACATATTTTTATATAGTATTAGAGTTAAATTCGTTTCACCATTTTTACATGATTTAATGATGTTGGATCCTATTTATGATTTACTGATGTTAGGCTCCATTTAATGTCTAATCCTAAGCATAAGGTGGGGGTGTTGAGTCACAGGTGGGATGAGGAAAATATGGATTTTCTTATATAAAATTGGACGATCCTTGAATATAAGTTAACTTTTAAGGTTGAGTTACACCCGATTGCTATTTCTTTACAGATAGTTCAGCTAGTTCTACGAAGAGCTTGTTAATATTAGGAACCAGATTAACATCTATAACTTTAGGACATACTAAAATGGTGTAACACTGTCATGTTACAGAGATCATTCCTAACCCTTCTATTTCTTGTTTGATGTTAGTTTGGCTATAAAAAACACACTGTTGGAAGAGGTTTCATGACCTGGTAAAAGGAGAAAGAGAAATTCCTTCAACTTGATTTAATTTGTGGATTGTCATTCATATTCAGAATTTCGACATTTACACAAAATAATATCATGGACTTATATATTTCACTTTTATGAGGTGAACAATGTATATTTCTCCTTCCGTTAAAAAAAAATTATTTTTATTTTCTTTTTAGTTTGTTTTTTCTAAAAAAATGACCCCTTTGCTTTTTGGCAATATTTTAACTTTAACTTTCCACATTGGCATGTTTAATTTTAACTTTAACTTTCCACATTGGCATGTTTAAGACCGCAAGATTAAAGAGCATTTTGACACATTTAACACAAAAGTGTGTTTCTCAAACTAAAAAGTGATAGTTTAAATATAAAACTCAAACTCTTAATAATTTAGATATGAAACTTAAAGAAAAAAAAAATTAAATGTGTTTGTAATAATTATCTCTATTTCAAATGATAAAATAATTGAAATATAGGCCATGTCAATGTTTTAAGAAGCGAAAACGAGGTGCGACCTTTTATCCTTAAATATTTCAACGAGATTTGAATATTTTTTTTTTTATCATGATTCATGATAATAAAAGCACTTATTAGTATTTACATGCATAGTAACTGATGCACTAAAATAATTCATATCTTCAAATACAAACGCCGACTTGAATAAATTAATTTATTCAACTCTAATCACCAATGCGACAAGTCGATTATGGAAGTATTATTAAGATAAATGTAAAATTATGGTTATTGGCTTATAAATAAATATAATCGGTGTATAATTAATTGTGATTAAACAAGATTATTATTTTTTTGGAATTTTTAATTGCATGATGTCGCTGTGGCTACTTAACATTAATATTAATACAAGCTGAACACACTCTCTCTATATACTATATATTAAATCGTGAACATTCTTATCGAGAAGTATCTGCATGCCTTGAGCCTATAACTAGTCGATGCTAAACCTAATTTTTATATATATGATTCAACAAATTAAAAAGCTAGCACATACATTTTCTTAATTACTTTTTGTTTCCACTAATGAAACACTAGGGGCCTAATAGAGAAAGAAAACCAAGAGAGGAATCATTTAGTTGTACTAGAATTACAAAGTAATAATAAAAATTCAGATTAAAAAGTATTCGATTCATGTCAAATTTTATGGCCCGAGATGTTTAATAATATATAATACTAATGAATTATAAAATGTATTACTAGTGTTGTTATTTTTTATCGACAGTTTGGTCTTGTTTGTTGTATTAAATGAATAGGATGTATATTAGAATATAAGAATAATACTAAATGAGGTGTATTATAATTAGGGATGTTTTTGTTTGATTTGAATTGATTATTTGATTAAAATTAAAATCAAATCAATTAAGTCGATATTTTTAATTTCTAAAATCAAATCAAACCAATAATTTAATCGTCGATTTGATTTAGTTTTTCCTGGTTTATTTGGTTTGAAAGTAACAATAATTTTTTTGAGGACTTACGCCGATAGACATAAACATTTAGCACATGAACAATCCATTGAAAAGATATTGTTGGTTCAATTAAGCAATTAACCAATATTAGAGCTGTCATTATACGAACAAAGTTTTTCAATTAAGAGAAAGTGTGACTATTTTATGTGAAGTAGACAAAAATGAATTTTAATTGACTTGGACTTGGATTTGGACTTAGGATTGTTATAGTTGAGCTAAAGTGTTAGGCTCGAGAAAATTGTAAACTTAAATACATTATGTTAATTAAAATTTAATAAAATATTTATATTTTATTTATGAATAATATATAAATAATTAAATTTATATATCTAATTTATTGGTTCGATTTAATTATTTATGCGGTTTATTTTAGGAAAATCAAAACCAAATCAATAATATTGACTTTCAAAATTTAGACCAAATCTAACTTTACCCAACCAAATATCAATTTTTAATCAATTTTTTTTCTAAAATTATAACCATGAACAACTCTAATTATAATAATCCTGTCAAACGATCCGAAGAGCATGATGTTGTTTGCATGTCTAGGTGGGGGGGGGGGGGATGAAGAAATAAGATTGTACTTGTAAATTAAGGACAATATAATATCGATACTACTTGAAAGGTCAAAACATGTCTTTGCCTGCTTCGATAAATCTACCACGTTTCTAACAATCATATCAATATATTGTTATATACAAAAGTTATGGGGATAGAGTCTAATTTTAATGATATGTCAAGTGTGTAATTCAAACTCCTAAAATTTTGCATCTGGTTTCAATAGTGTCTAGCATGGCATGAATATGCATAACAAGTCAGATTCGAACACATAAGCATTATTAAGCAATAACAAATTATTATGTTAAAGGTGCAGTTATATAATATTTAATCATTTTGTGTATTATTTTACATATATATATGGTATTCTTTTTTCGATGAAGGGTGTTCAATTAAACACTCTGCAACCATATAGCTACGCCACATATCCATCTATGTAACTTGCATCCAAATTCAATTACACTTTCCTCTCGTTTCAGTTTACGTGACATAACTAAATTTTTAAGATTTGAATTTTGAATTTTGTGTTATCAAAATAAACTAACTAGGCATAGATTACACTACTATTTAGTTTCACACGATATACTTTAAAATTATCATACTAAATCAGAATGCAAATGGAAATTAAACTATATATGGGGGAGGATATTAAATTTAATTAAAATAACAATTATTGTATGTTCTTTCGATAAATAATTTATGTTTAACAAAAATAAATCTAATACAATCAATTCTGAATTGAAACAATGCACAAATTAATTTGTGTTTGAGTTGATTTAAATTTTAAAATATGGCAATAACATGCTCATTTTTAGTATTAAATGTATATTTCAGTCATTTTAACACTTTTAACATTTTTTTTACTAAATACATCAACGGGTTTATTTTCATGTCAAATAGTTTTATTCAAACAAATTATATATTTAGGTAGCTCAAACACTTAAAAAGGTATTTTTTTTACCACTTAAATTCAATCTAATCAAATGAACTAGTTCTTCATAAACATAATTATCACTTAATCATGTTTACGTAGTTTTCATTTTGATTTTTTATTAAATTAGTTAATTTAATTAAGAAAATAAATTAATCTTATTAGCACATGCCAATCGATAGAGTGTGGGTACCACTGCACCAAATATGCGCGCATGAAACAGTAGTACTCATAAAATGCTGATGCTTGCTCCTTCTATATTTTTTAAAAAATATAATGCTTAGATATAAAAAATGACCCAATAGTTTTTTTTAATAATATAATCTTAAGTCAAATTTGAATATTTTGTTATATATAAATATGGGAAAATTTGCGCATGCAGCAATTACTCTCTCAGTCCGACCGTTTAACAATAATTATTTATTATACTATTTTGAAATGTTTAATAATATTTGTTCACTTGATGAAATCAATTGATAATTTTATACTTTTTAATTTACCCTTATCATTAGTTATAATCATTTCCCTATTACATTTATTCAAAACATTGTATTAAATTACATTCAAAGGGTGATGTATTAAAAGTACCAGTCAATTTATTTTTCTTATATAATGTACAAAATCAATAAAGTACAAGGATTTTCAATAAGGAGGTCCAAAATTCATAGAAATAGACACGCAGAGTAATCGAAGGGTATTCAATATTTACTATATATACATAAAATAATATTTTAACTATATATAAATAGTGTATTTTTCCGTCCATAATTGTTGGACACAAAGAGTTCATTAAATACGGCAGCTAAAGTGACTCTCGATCTCCAAAATCCATGTAATTATCTCCTTATCCATTTAAGCTAGAAGTCCATATATGAATTTGATCAAATTTAATAGTGTATTTTTATTAAAATATTTATTATTAGACATTTTAAAATAGTATATTAAACAATTATTATTGAATGCGTATTAAAAATCATGACTATTATAAAATTTAAAATTCATAAAATAAAATTCTGACTTTGCCTGCGTTGATTATGGTCAAACAAACATAGAAAGTATTAAAGGTTCCGTACGTATGGCCATTGGTGGGCTACGTAGTGTGTCGACACACATATACAAGAGTCAAGATGATGTCTCGTTTACGTGGTACAATGCACAATCCATGTCGGATTTATTTATTCCATATGTACCTAAAAAGAACCTATATACTAGGATAATAATAATCTAGAGAAATTATTCTCGATAAATTATTAATTTTTTAAAAAAATTATCCAAAGACATTCAAAAGAAAAAAACAATAGAGGTATATATAGTAACATGACAATAATTATGAGAAAACATTATGATGGTCAAATTACAAGAAATAAAACATAACAAAAATCGACTAGACAAGAAACTATCAGAGCAATACTATTAATATGTACTAATAATAGACATAACACAATAATTATTGTTTACAACATTCTACTATAATCTGCGTTCTTTACAATGTTCTATCTAAAATCATGTTCTTGATAAGCTGAAACTATGTCATGTCATGTCTAATTACTTTTTCTAAATTTGATCTATCTCTGCTTTTCCTAAAGCCATCAACGACCAAACCTCTCACATCTCCGCACAAAGACATCCAAACATCTCTGGTTAAGTTTTTTAAAAACCCTACACAGTCTTTAATTAAATTTAGTATAATAATAAAACAATATGTAGAAGAAAAAAGTTTGTAATTTGCTGGAGGGGATATATATATATGATTTTTTTCTTTAATTAATAGTTTACTTTTTGGTAGAGATGCAATTGGAAGATAAGTATATATTATAGTATGTTGTGGGTGATGGGTAATACGTGTAGATGTATGAGACTTGTAAGGGAGGTTTGTTGGTACGCATGCACAATAGAGTGGCTGGATGTGGTCACTAATATATGGGTAATATGCCACCCACCATGCCTTGTATATTGTTAGACAAAAATAATATATTTTTGTGGTTTTATAATCAAGGAAAGAGATTAGGGTGTAAATTAATATAGGATAAGAAGTAAGCTATAAATCACAAAATGCAAGCAAATTGCAAATTATTATAATTATATAATAGATATTTTCTAAATGATCTGATTATATAAAAAATTAAATTGGTAAAAAACAATTTTTTAATTATGTTTTTTTTCTAAAAAAGACGTTGTAAATGATAGCACTATAAAAAAAGATATTAATAGGCAAGCGATAAGCAGAGACAGAGCCTAGACTGAGAGTTCTAAATTTTAAGATAGAAGAGTAAATATTTTTATATCCAAAACACTAGTGGGGAAAACATTTTCATAACCCTTTCTTATTATTGAGCTATTAATCAATTTTATCAAGAGTTTCACAAATATATATATATATATATATATATATATATATATATATATATATATATATATAT